TCCTCTGTTGTTTAGCCTCTTCGTTGTTCTATGTTCACGCATATATCTATCTATCTATCTATCTATCTATCTATCTATCTATCTATCTATCTATCTATCTATCTATCTATCTATCTATCTATCTATCTATATTCAATCAATTATACCTCTGCATATACCTATACATATTATTACATACATACATAATACATTACTTACATACATACATGCATCCATGCATCCACGTGCGTACGTACGTACCCCGATCTCCCGAGGCTCGCAACTGTTGGCAGGGCGCCGCAGAGGAGACTGGCTGACCGAAATTTTTGGGCAGTGAACGGGAGACCAGCCCAAAAAAATGATCAAACATGTTCCACAAATATGGGTATACGGTATGGGTCAATACCTATAGATACATTTTTAGTGGGATGAACATCCATTTACCAGCTATTTTGGGGTTCACTAGGGTACCAAGGTTTTGACACACTGCCATATACCAAACACGCGCCAAAGATAAATGTATCCCAAAATGGGCAAACATTGCGGCAAACATGTTTATTTTGAGAATTATGCTGACCTTGACACATGAATTTCCTGGAGGTGTTTCTTGAATCTTCCGCGATTTTTCGGGGCCAGTTGAAAAGCCGACAGAATCGAGGATGTGATGATAAACCCAAAATGTTGAACATGACATAGAGCAAGCAATATGCCTTTGCCCATATGTTTGGGAATATCTGGGCATGCAGCAGGAAGGTCTGGAGATCTCCCATGTCCTCAGATGGTCGCAGTGTAACTCCTTTTTTCCTCCCTTTTTTTGCACCAATTCTCTGCCACCCCCAGTCCAACAATCTTTTTATAACTCCTGTAACCTCCCATTTATAGCAGTAAACCTCCCCTTGGTTTGCTTTCACACTTTTCTGGGGAGAATTGCTTCGGGATTTCCAAACGCAACATCCAACCGCAGAACCACGAGGTCCAGTTGCCCAGCCCCTGTTTTCGAGGATTTCCACAATTTCAGCAGGGATTCGTCCAAGGCGCCGACGACCAAACAGGCGGGCAGCTGTAACCGCTGAGTTGGGAGCCAGTTGGAGCTACTAAAATGTTACTAAGACATCTAAAATCTAAGACTTAGTGACTAAGAGTTTCAAAACCACATGAGAGTCAAATTATTCATACCCCAGGTGCCAACAATAAAGAACACCCAAGTATGCATGTTCTTCGGGTGGGTTGCCCTCATTCTGCTATGATTTACCATATCAACTCGGGAGTCTGAAGAAAGCATTCCAGTCGTGGCCTTGTTTAGACGAGTTCAAAAAATCATCGTGTGACCCTCTGGAAAATTGCCATTTAGAGTCGATTTACCCAATAAAAGTGGTGATTTTCCATAGCTATATTAGTTTACCAGAGGGTAAAAACCATTGAAAACTATTAAAGACCATTAAACAACGATCAAAAACCTACGTATGTCAATGGGAATTCCAGGATCCTAAAATAGAGGTACTGTACCATATAAGGCCATATTTTGGGGGTATATCCCTTTACATAGGCCTTACATAGGCCTTATATATGGTAGGTACCTCCAATTTAGGTTCCTGAAATGGCCATTGATATGGTGTCCTTCCCATTTTTCCTGCCATTCCCAGGTGGCAGTCGAGTGCCATGGTTGACGAAGCAGCAAGAGGCCTCCAGCCTGATGCCTGCGGGCGTCGCAGGCGGTGCCGCGTCGTACCGGGAGGAAGCCTGGAGTTAGAGCGGTGTCAGGCTGGTGAACCATGTACCCTCTGGTAAACTATATAACATTCAGTAACTATGGAAAATCACCATTTTTAATGGGTAAATCCACTATAAATGGCAATTTTTAATAGCTATGTTAAATTACCAGAGGGTAATGTGCCAAAAAGTATATATATATATATACGTAAACCACAATTACATGGTTCACCACCCTGGCATAATAATTAATTGTTTATATTATATTTTACCATATTTATAGGTAAACATATAAATATTATTTTTATTTACCTACAGTAATAAACCATCCATTTGGAGTTCATGAGTCCCAAAATATGCTACTCTAATATATTATGAACCATGTAATGTGGTTAAAACAATGTCATAAACCACCCATGACTGGCAATGGTTTATAATAACCATAAAAATGGTGAACTTGGGGATGCTTTATGATTGTTTTACCAACATTATATATATTTATATATGGGTATAAAAATGGATACATATGGGGGTATATATATATATATATATATCTAGGTGTAGAATGGGTATATGAAAATTGGTATATGAACCATATACGGGTACATATTATCTATATATATATATATACATATGGATATAAATAAATATGCATAATTATAAATATATACATGTTCAGAGAGAAAGTTATATGCACACAGATGTACACAGTATTTTGTTGCAGCGTATGGTTGTATGAACATATCCAATATGTACACACACATATATATATATGTACACAAATATACATATCATATATATATTATTTACATAATATTTCTATTTACATATATTCATATTTATTCTTAAATGCATATACATTATATATCCATATGCACATATATATATATATATAGATACGGGTGTGCGTATGTGTGTGCGACTACTATTTTGTTGCTATTTTTCGGCATGGCGTTGGCCTCTCCAGCTCTCCAACAACGAAGTCAGGAGATATAACGCCAAAAAAGTGATTGGTATCTACTTCAGGATGATCATTCAATGATTAGCAAGTGGGTCATTGGATTATAAGTTATATGAGGTACAACCCTCAAGACCTTTGGAACTTTATGGGCGGTTTTTGTACGTTGAAACGCCTGTTTTTCTTACCATCACTGCCAATTGCTATCTTCCTCGATGCCCCAGCCGCCATCTGTGCCATTGCTGTTTCTTGCGAGGCGCTTGCATAAGAAGGGATCATCAGTCAACGGCCATTTCTCCCCCAGAAGAGCGGCCCAATATGTGATGGGTAGGAACGCCTTGTGACAAAACAGGATCAGCGGACCTTGCCAAGATATTGCCAACTATTTATTCTAGGCTTGGTTTAAGGTAGCGTCTGCAGAAGACCCTATCACTCTGACTGCTGGTAAAAAAAAAACAATAGCTCTCCCTCTAAGTTCCATCCTTGTGTTTGTTTTGGCGCCCTTTGGAATTGTCAATATCAATCCCAAAATGGCATATACGGTATTTATATATACATATATATATATAAACATATACATATATATATACATATATACATATATATATATAGATAATGCATATGCATGTAAATGTAGTGAGACCAAAGTGTACCATTGTTTCATCCCGTAATCTACCACCAGTATCTCCACAAAGTGCGAATGATACATATTCCCATGTTATTAGATCATCCGGAATGACCAGGGCCCGCATCACCTGTCAACCAGCAGGAGGCGCGCCATTTTCGTTGGGCAGAAATGGAGGGATTTATAGAATCAACAAATGTCTCTGAATTTCAACTGAGGATTCTAGAACTCATTTCAGGGGGTCTAGGAGGAACATATCAACTGTATGTATAGTTCAACGTATATATATAACATATATATAATATATATATATAACATATATATAACATATATATATATATAACATATATATAACATATATATATATAACATATATATATATAACACACACACATATATATATATATATATCACACATAATATATAACACACACACATATATATATATATTTATATACATATAACATATATATATATATATATACATAATATATGTATATATATAACATATTTATTTATATAACACACACACATATATATATATATATACATATGTTGTATGTATATATATATATATATATGAGCAGAGATCACCACACTCAAGCCCCCCAAGCCAGATGGTTCCCTATCCCCCTGTGGCCTGGGTTCCCAACAACAACATGCCTACAGAGGCAGTATTTGTGCAGTGTAAGTGGTTGATGGGTTGATGTCCAGTTTGTAGGGAGTATATGGAGAGTAATCCTTTAGAGTCAAAGAGTTTACAGGGAGTAGATATGTATATAGTATATGGGCATGCTATGCCACTATGCAATGAGTCGTATGTGGGTACGCTCTAAAACATGTGTAGGTAGTAGGTAGTATACGTAGGGTCTACGGAGTATATGTAGTGGAGAAGCAATGTCTATACTACACGGAGGTATATAATGTTAGTTGGGAAATGTTGGGAAATTATATCTGGGTAGTATGTATTTAAATATATGTATCTAGTTGAACGATGGTACAAACTGAATCCAAGCATATAGTATATAGGAATATTTATTAGTTATGCATAGGCACGCTTTGAGCATATAATATGTCGGTAACAAATATGTAGCATGACATGCAATGAATGATAATCCATGAGGTACGCGTTTTGGGCAGTACATAAATAGCTTTTGGCCAACGTATGTGACAGTATGTGCTAGATTGATATGTGGTGTCAATATTAACCGCTACTGACTCTATAGACAGGGTCCAGTAGTGACGAGGCACAGTGCCTCTCCGAGAGGGGTGGAGTGAGGGGACCATACCATTCAGGCGACCAGAATTCTCCCAAAAGTGTTCTTGAAGGGGGTGAGAAATACATACAGACATTACATTGCATTGCATTACAGACATACATCTCACCAGAAACTCAACTAGAAGAAAAGTCTACCAGGAGTGCATGACCAAAAAACATGGAGAGTTGTGCGCAAAAAAAGAAAGGCCCTACAGTCCACGGCCCTATTGTCCTGTTGAAGTGAAAATGCAGTGGTGGAATTAGACCAAACGGTTTCTGGCAGATGCTCTCCGAAATCGACCCAGTGATAGGGTTTCAAGCTGATCTTTGAGATCGAGGGCGAAACAACTTCATCTTTCCATCCCTTTCCATCCCTTTCCAATATTGAGCAACCACCTATTTTTCAAGCCTTGAAACCCTGCTGAAAGCGGGTGTCGGATCCGGTCATTTGGGGCAAAAAAGCGCAGCCAGTTTTGGCTCCATACGTTCAACATTTTTTAGCCCCCAGCGCTGGGCCACTGGGTGCAGAAACCTTCGTGGCTTGATGGGTTCTCACAAGGGTAGACTATGATAGAATGGGGGTTGGTATGGCAGCTGGTTGACTTTCAGATATTTTCAGATTGCGAAAAAGTGGCCAACACAAAATACAAACTGTTGTGGCATGATGCTTTGGTTGAACTCGATAGAATTCAATAGTTCTGGCGTACTGAAAACAGCAAACAAGTATCCACTCTCGGCAGCATAAGTCATAGGGTGGATGCGGACAGCGTCACAATTTCAGCCGCACTTTGAATATTGGGATCCAAAGATCAGCTACCAGTGCTACCGTCACGTTGGATTCTTGAGTGCACCCAATCTTCTTCTAGTGATGGTTGGCAAGAACTTCGCTCGATGGTAAGATGTAAGAAGCCTGATTTCTCCAGAATTTCTCGGTTGTTTCGGATGATCATCAACCTGTTTGTTTGTTATTTCAATATTTTCAATATAGGGTGGTCCAGTATACATTTGGAATGTGTTGTATTTTTGAAACCAACTCTTGATATCTCTTGATTGTTTTGCTCACAGCCCAGTTGTTTGAAATACCGAGGCGAGCAATACGGCGATCAAACTTTCAGATAGCGTAGTTCGGGATCCTTGAAGACTCACAGGTTCGCCCCCAAAGGGTGGGGGTCCCTTGCGAAAAGGTCATAGCTTTGGATGGATTATAAATATTTAGAACATATTACAACTACCTAGCTTTGGATGGATTATAAATATTTCCAACATATTATTAGAACATATTATAACTATACCCCACTGCGACATCACTGTCAATAATGCTTGGTGATTTCAACAGCAGCATGCAGCTTTGACAAAATCTTTCCGACCGAGATTTCAGTGGCCAGTCCTGCCATGGTGCAGGATGGAATACGTACATTACCCCGTGCAAGTTGGCAAGGTGCCTGGAAGCCTGGAATGGGAAGGATGCGATGGAAAAGGGCCCTGTGATGCGGGAAATCAAGCTCCTTGCATGGAGATACATGATGACATTGTGTATGACAGTGTTGCATGTGGGAGATGATGACATTGTGTATGAGATGTTGAACTATATGGTTCCGAAATGGAGTGAACCAGACTTCTTGTTTATTGGGGGGGTGTCCTAGTTGTTCGAGCTTTGAAGGGGACCACGATTTCGACATTTGTTGATTGCGCTGCATGTAATTGCCATGAACACAGGGCGCACCTAACTTGCTAAAATGCCAGGTTTGTACAGATTTGAGACTTGGATGTAGAGTAGAGCTTTCATCCTACTTTTCCCTTTCCTCAATCTTTTTCGTCAGCTTCCTCTTTTCATTACGGAAATCATTGCCAGGGCATTGGCACTCGCGGCCAAAAAGCATGGATGGGCGGATTGGTGTTCCTACAGCTTCTCAACAGCAGTGGATGCCAACCTTGGGAACCCAGCTTGAAGCCCCCATTGGGGGCCGCTGGAAGGCACATGATTGGTTGATCATCATTTTCCATAAGCAAATCTTGACCTCAACGCAAAATCAAAGATCCCACCTTCTACCATCTATTTGATCTATTTGATTCTATTTCCTCATTGCAGGGTTTGACCCATATCTTTTTCATATGTCAAAGTCTGCAATATTCATCATAGAATTGGATGCTGGGAAAAATTTTCCAGGAAGCCCCTATCTTTGATGGTAAAAACATGGTTTCTGGTGAAGATTTTCCCTTCAACCAATCCCATGAAACCATGGAGCGCGGCACGCGGCGCAATCCCAAGGGCCGCGCTCACAGTCTTGCGATTGGTGTACCTCTTCGAAGCCTTAGGAGGTGCGAAAAAACTGCCCAGCCGTCCACGGGACCCGGGACGCCCCCAAACGAAGCCAGTTTTTTTTTCTCAGGGATTTTCCCACATACTGGGGACCATTAAGGGGGTGTTGAATCTTAGGGGTGGGATTTTATATTGATATTTCATGGTTCATAACACACACACACCCAGAAAAGGCGATGATTATTGTGGCTCCACCCTGCAGGTTTCTTCATGGGCCTCAATGCAGCTTCGCCGCAAAAAAAAAAAACGGCTTGGCCAACGGGGAGTGCAGCCCATGGAATTGAAACCATGAAGAACGCTATGACTTATAGTCGATGCCATTTAATTATTCATGTTGAAGAAACCAATGAAATTATAATTGAAACATAATATTGAAACCATGACTGGTTGGTGGTTTCAAACAGATTTTTTTTTCATATATTGGGAACAATAGGTATACCACCAACCGGATGATGTTCCTTTCTTGGCAACATTTCGAAACTAATCGACGATTCGCCGACTTTATCCCAACAAATACTTATAATCATTACTTCAAAATCAGGCAAAACCTTCGATTAGTGTCCACATTACATGACCATTAACTGAGGCATCCCCTTTTCAGACACACCCGCATATCATACTTATGTATGTATGTGTACATGTATATATGCACACATTTAAATTTGTATAATTTGTATATATATATATACGCATGAACATGGCAAGTGTTTTCTCACGAATTACCGTTCTATCCCGAAAAGATTTTCACATATCCTATTTTCATTGTCTTGTCAGTTATACATTGCCATGAAATTCCCATTTTACTATTCCAATTATGTCAGTTATATGTCAGTTATATCCTTTCATCACCCATTAAACCCCTAATTCCTATCATATCCCCTATGAAGTACTGACCATTCACCATTTCTGAAGGGTGAAATACCTTTCTCCATTTCTTATCATTTCTTCTCCAGGTCTACTTGGGCTGGTATGCCTTGAAGAAAAGCATGGACATCACGGCCGTCTCTTTGTGGGGCTTGATCTCTGCAGCTCTTCTGGTCTATGACGGCCTGGGAGCTTTGACCGCGCCTTGGAGAGGGATGCGGAAAGGGGGGGTAGTGGGGGGGCCATGGGGTTGGTTAATAATGGGTTAATAACTATTATGGTTAGTAATCATTAATGGTTCATAATGGTGATTATATAATGGTTAATGGGTTCATAATGGTGATTATAATGGATTATATAATGGTTGGTTCATAATGATGATTAATGGGTTAATCATGGGTTAATCATGGGTTAATAATTGGAATAATGTGGTTAAAACAATGTCATTTTTACCACCCATGACTGGGAATGGTTTTTACATACCACCTATAAACCTTTGTCATGGCTGGGGGATGGTTTATGACATTGTTTTACCCACATTAGATTACCCTCTGGTTATGTCAAAATAGCTATTGAAAATGGCCCAGTCGAAATAGTGAGTTTTCCCATGAAAAATGGTGATTTTCAATAGCTATGTTAAATTACCAGAGGGTAACATGTATGCGGATATGATTTAGCTGTTGACTAAACACATCGACAGTCTATCATCATCTATCTATTTGTTTATGGTGGTTTGTCAAGGATTGCTATCCCAAACTCCCAGCCCCAGCAGGGGAAAAATAAGAATCACATGCTAATCAGGCAGACTGACATGGAAAGGTGGCTGCAAGATGCGGTTTTTCGTGGGTTGCACGGTTGCACCCCTTGGTTCATCACGTTCGATTGCAGATTTTTGCTGTCTAACTTCCTGGTTGGATATTCGACCAGGGTAGATTTAAGGGTAGATTTTGCAAAAATCATTGGGCCCCCACGGAACTTGCAGGGCATCCTGGTGCAGACTTTTCACCTTGAATTCCTCAAGGCCGGGGTGGTTTTGGAGAATTTAATGTGTAAATTTTCTGGATCCATGTTGCAACAATTGGAACGAATCGTTCGGAACGAAAATTTCTGATTGCAGATCATCAGTATTTTCAACTCGCCACGCCTTTTGTTTCGGCGGACAGCTGCAGTTCGTTTATTGTACACATACAAAACATTACAACACACACATATTTATATCAAGCAAAATGTGCAAACTCAAATGCATGGGATGCTGTTCGATCCCTCAGAAGGTCGTTACCTTCGAGAATTAGAACAAATTCTCATTTAGTTCGATCAGTTTCCCTTGAACACATTAATTTGCACCTCGAGGATTGTGGCAGATGGGGATTTTCCATTGCCAACCATGTTTGATGAGTGATTTATTCATCGAGGATTTTCCCAGCTATAAACCCATAGGATCCATGGTGCTAGTATATATGCTAACATTTCGATATTTGGGATATATTGATGGTAAATGTTACCATATATAGCATACATGGATCCTATGGGAAACCTCCAATTAGCCGACCAGCGAGAGGTGGGTATCTTGGTGGCGCTACCCGTGGTCCACTTTCTGGCGGCAGACTTTGCATGGGAGCTCTTCAAGGAGCATGACGCGTGGCGCAAAACACGGGCCTGGCACTGGTTTTGCAGAGGATTGACCATGAAAATTCCCAGGGTTGGGTACGCCTAGCTGCTAAGTAGCCCTGGGTTGTTATTTTTCTCCAGAAGGGGTAATTGTGAGGGATAACAGTAACATACTAATGACTATTTAATAACAATGCTTATGGGCACTTGGAGGGTCTAGGGAGGTGAAAATAAATGAATGTTGAGCCATAAATCAAGGATGTTTTATGCATGTGAGGCCCAGCGAAAAAGATGCAGCTTATCTAAGGTTAGCCATGCCAAGGGAAGTTTGGTTACGGACAAGTTGCAAAGATGCGGGCGTAAGGCCAAGGACAGGGCTGCCTACAAGGTGATACTTCACGAGTGACTCCAGCAGTTGAAATGGTTTTGAATGTGAAGGTTGTTAGCATGTTCATATCCTTGGAGCCTCCAGAAAGTGCCCTGCTGAAAACCACAAAAGCGCATGAACCGAGGAACGCTCCGGCGGACTCTTCAAGCCTTTCTTTGCAGATGCCAAAACCATCGAACAGCAAAAACTGCTGCAGCAGCAGCAGCAGCAGCAGTATACTCAGTATGCTGCGTATGGCACAGATGCTTGGCTGAACTCAAGCAAACCTTGGGCATTTAAGCAGTGGCATATCAGTTGCACCCTCCTGTGTATTCTTGGTGTATGGTTGATGGCCCCCTGCCTTGGAAGCCCTAAGTTCGCAAAGCTGGTGCTCATAAGTATGGATATAGCACCCCCAGAAAATAGATAGCACTCTACTTCAATCCCCAAACTGGGTTCGCAAATTGTGTGTTCTTTTTTTTGGGAGGGGGGGGGACGATGCAACACTTACAATCCAGTTTGTAAGTGGGATAGACGATGACCCCACGGGAAATTGGAACGAATTTACCCAGGATGCATGTGCTGTGATGAACGGCTTGGAAATCGTCAGGAATCCCTTGAGAAAGATTCGTTGATGGTTCGCAATATATTCCAAAATGTGCAAATTTCCATTTGCCCCCAACAAAAATCATTTTTGTCCATCCAATGTTTTTTCCACATTACTAGGTCAACCTTGGATGGGTAGTTTGAACCAACTATATCATATTTTTTTTTGTGCAGCTATGATTAATCCCCATTGACCCTACATTTTTGGAACAGCTGAAGCATCCCCAGGAAGGCATGAAGACCGCGCCCGAGATGTCTGCGGTCTACGGCAGTCGCAGTGGAGCGCCTGAGAAGCCGCAGATGTCGCCGTTCCACACGGGGTACTACCCGCAGGAACTGAGTTTCCGTGGGTTTTCGTTTTTTTTTGGACCAAGATGGCTGAGGTGTTGGGGAAATCATCGATTTATTTTCGGTGAGAAAATAGATTTGGGAATGGATGTTGTTCAGTGAGGATTTTCTTTTTTGAAGGAACCTTGGCCCCAAAGGTGTTGGAATTTGTCACGGATAGAACCATGAATCATCATTCATCGCCTCTTTTGAGGGTGCGCAGCGTGTTAAAATTTTGAGAGCTCCAGGGAGTTGTTGATGGGCCTTCTTGTGCATTTTACCAGCTGAGTAAAATTTTCATAGGATTTTATTCGTGGACCTTTGAGGTTGCAAAATGTAATTTGCATATGAAGTTCCGGAAAGTGTGGGTATGTGTGGGTGTAGCTTCGTCATGGGTATCCCGTATCCCCAAATCATTAAACATTAGACTGTTTTAGTATTGAAATCATTTGAAATCCGTGGTTCCATTCTAAGAAACCTCCAAATGTGTTGGCCGTTGGCCCCTTTGCAGCTGCTGTTCCCTTCATGGGAGACCCTGAGGAGATGCACAATCCAGCAGATACTGCCCTTGGGTCGCACAGGTACTGCGTGATGCCCTTTGTGACACACGGAATTCACCTATTTTTCCAATGGTTTTATCGATGATTTTCCAATGATTTTGGTTGATTCTGTAGCACTGTAGCCATCCAGTTGTTGTAAAAACTGACCGCTTTTCACTATTCATCAAAGGCCCGGGGACAAGCTCACGCCTAATCCATCAGGCCTGATGTGACAAGTTGCACTTTAAGACCTAGATAGGCATAGATAGGCATAGATACGCATAGATACGCATAGGTATACGCCATTTCAATCCATTTCAGAGTTCTGCCTCTCTCTTTTCCTCGTTTTGGAGATTCCTCGCGAAATCCGAATTGCCAAGGCCAGTCGAAAGCAACACGCTGCATGCTGTTGATGGATCGCCGGTCAAGATGAGCCCATTTGACCGGTGTCACAGCCTTGACGATGTCGAAATGTCTCACTCAGAGAAACTCAGTTTCCCTGCCAGTCTCTGCAGCAAATTTTGGTTCTGAAACTTGGGCACCAATGGTCCATCATTATTTGCCCAATTCAATGGCCATTTCATCCGCAAATGAAATAGGTGTTTTTTTTACCTCATTTTCAGACACCAAACCGAGCTGCTAGAGGATGACTAGGCGATTCAGGAGGAAAAACATCTTTGAACCCAAGGCCCAAAAGCATCTCCAGCATCTGTGTCATGGGCATTACTCCTATGTGTGTCCCCCATGGTTAGCCAAAATCTTCACGTCAGTGAAATGGATACAATGTGGTGACCTCGGGTAGTTTATTGGCAGAATTTCTATAAGGACATTAGATTCTGCACGTTTTTTTTGTAAACATGACATGAATGTGGCAAACCGATGCCATCACCATGATACACCCCGAATAGCCCGGGATATTGCGGGATGATTGATGTAAAATGAAGCCCTAAATGGTTGGTGAGTGGGATGGTTCATTACCGGACCGCATGGACTATGTATTAAAAGGAGGTGAGTTCTGTCGTTTTTCCTGTTGTTTTCCCACTCGAAAAACACGATCTGGCAGGCAGCTGGCCGGCGGAGACAAATCATTGAGGTGCTAACAACTTCGACTGACTGAGACGCTGTTTGCTAATCGGCAATCACTTTTTTGATAGGAAAATCATCGAACTAAATGAAACATTTTCCACAGCTAACGGATGCTAACGGTTAGATTACCGGAGTGCAGCGGCATGTACTAGCAGGTGAGAGTTTATAGTGAACAGATTTGAGCATATACATAAATATATAAGCATATACTGTATAATAGATCTGAGATATACATGTATATATATATATATGTGTGTGCGTATATATATATATATAGTTATAATTATACACACACACACATATGAATATATATATATATATATAGATCGTTTCACGATTCTATCCTCTTTGCTGGTGTCTCTCTGGAAACTTGAGCCCGGCTTGGCGATCCGGGGGAAGGTTTGTAGGATTCCGACCAAAAAGCTGGCAATTGTAGTATTTCCAGCATTGCTGTATGAAAAAAGAACATCTCTAGCAGTTTAGTGCTATTTGTTTCGGTGAATGATGATGCTTACGAAGTTCACATAGTACTAAACATTACTAGTCATTATTATGGGATATGATGGGCATGATGACTTTAGCCATTTCATCATGGGATATTATGGGCATGATATTATGGGATATTATTACTATAGTCATTATTATGGGATATTGTCCTTTTAGCCAATTTGAGTTCCAAAAATTCGCCCAAGATACCCCAAGATTCGCCGTCTGCTTAATTAGCCTCGGCCTTGAATACATGATGCTCTGAAGAAAATGCGCCTGGAAACGTCCTCGTTTCTCCAGCATTATTACTTTAAAGTACAGAAAAGTCCTCATGGGGTGGCCTGGCTGCCGGCGATAGTGTGGAGTCATCACTACTAAGAATGTGTTACCTCTCTGGTTATTTAACAGTTTGCCATGGTATAGATGGCCCATGGAAATAGATGGCTTACCTAAAAATGGTGATTTTCCATGGCTATGTTAAATAACCAGATGGTATATTATAGTGTCAATATTATTACTAATTATAGTAGCATGATCAGCATGAATTATTGATATTGGTTACTATGGCTAGACATGATCGCTAAGAATGCCATTTCTATTGCCCCTCTTTATTACACAAATAATATTTCTTTAGTAATTAGTCATGGCAATGCTCGTGGTAATAAGTATTGCTCGTCTATAGCAATCATTACTACCGTAGATGGACGAAATATTCAAACCCCTCCTATCCAGTACAACCCCCTCGCCCCCAAAGTTCAATGTTAATGTAGCCTGAAGTGCATTAGCCCCAATGGACGAAAAAAATCAAACCCCTAACATCACTCTTGCTAACACGCGTGCTGAAACATTGAGATTTGGGGTGTGCGGGGGTTCAACATAGTGCGTGCTGCAGGGTTTGAATATTTTGTCCATCTACTGTCTCGCTCTCTGATTTTTTCACATCTTTTGGTCTCCAAACTCTGTTGTGGAAACATCACTCTGCATGCTGCTGATCTTATTCCAAACTGCGCAAAACATTGGCTTTTCACAAGTAAATGCCTTCTGTCTGTCTCCCGTCCCATTTTTTCTATTCCCTAATTCGCAACTTATTCCTAAAGTGCACAAAACATTGTGTTTTCACAGGCAAGTGCAACCTTTGTGCTTCCCGTCCCATTTTTTTCTATTCCCTAATTCGCCACTTATTCCAAACTGCAAAAAACCTTGTGTTTTCACAGGTAAATGCTGCATGTGTCTCTCGTCCCATTTTTTCCTATTCTCTAATTCACAACTTATTCCAACATGCGCAAAACATTGTGTTTTCACAGGTAGATGTGCATGTCTCTCTCGTCCCATATTTTCCTATTCCCTAATTCACGACTAATTCGTTTGACGTGGCCCTGCCAATGGATTTTGCAACTTGAACAGCATGAGACAGCTCCTAATTAAAAAAAGGAAATATTTTTCTCTTAAGAAGAAGCAGCACGTCACAAATGACACAATCCATTGGCAGGGCCACGTCAAACGAATTAGTCGTGAATTAGGGAATAGGAAAATATGGGACGAGAGAGACATGCACATCTACCTGTGAAAACACAATGTTTTGCGCATGTTGGAATAAGTTGTGAATTAGGGAATAGGGAAAAATGGGACGAGAGACACATGCAGCATTTACCTGTGAAAACACAAGGTTTTTTGCAGTTTGGAATAAGTTGCGAATTAGGGAATAGAAAAAAATGGGACGGGAAGCACAAAGGTTGCACTTGCCTGTGAAAACAAAAAAGTTTTGTGCACTTTAGGAATAAGTTGCGAATTAGGGAATAGAAAAAAATGGGACGGGAGACAGACAGAAGGCATTTACTTGTGAAAAGCCAATGTTTTGCGCAGTTTGGAATAAGATCAGCAGCATGCAGAGTGATGTTTCCACAACAGAGTTTGGAGACCAAAAGATGTGAAAACATCAGAGAGCGAGGCAGTACCAACTGGGGTGTGCGGCATGCCGCACACCCCAGTTGGTACCGTAGATGGACGAAATATTCAAACCCCTCCTATCCGGTACAACCCCCTCGCCCCCAAAGTTCAATGTTAATGTAGCCTGAAGTGCATTAGCCCCAATGGACGAAAAAAATCAAACCCCTAACATCACTCTTGCTAACACGCGCGCTGAAACATTGAGATTTGGGGTGTGCGGGGGTTCAACATAGTGCGTGCTGCAGGGTTTGAATATTTTGTCCATCTACTGTAGTAATGACATGCAGTGACAATGTGAATGTCACAAGAACATGTCCTGAAATCCATTGAATGAATCATGATATACATTGATATACCCTCTGGTTATTTAACATAGCCATGGTATAGATGGCCCATAGAAATAGATGGTTTACCTATTAAAAATGGTGATTTTCCGTGCGAATCCATGCGATACCCCTATAGTTCATTGAAAACACAGAGAGGCTTTTCTGCTCAGGCTTTGCGTTCCAGACACGCCAGGGCCATGGCCAAGCGCGAGGAGGAGCCCTATATATAATATAATATAATATAATATAATATAATGTAATATAATGTAATATAATATAATATAATATTATATAATATATAATATAATATTATATATATATATTATATGATATAAATTATATATATTACAGTTACGGACAGACAGTTAGAATATAAAACCTTAAAATTTGCTTAGCTCAGCTAAGCCGCTCTTCGGGGTATAGGGTATTTGGAGCTAAGCCGAAAACCTTGGTCTTAGAATATGGGCACATGCACTTAGAATATGGCCACTGATGTCAGAAGAACCGATACCATGTTCATCGCGCCGCAAAGATCATGCTCCATGCGGTGTTGCGTAGGTGCTGCTGGTGTTGGTTGCGAAGTGAGTGACGGACAAAAACCATCCAAACCTATCCATATTCTAACTGCACTTTTCACCACCAGAATTCACAAAGAAAACAAACAAGTTTTACCGTACCAACCGACCTCGGAAAAACTTTGGCCAACACAATCTGCTGTATGTATGTGTCTCTTTCAGCATGGAAAACAGGACAGAACCCATGCAAGAACAAGCATGGTGAAAATTGCATTGCGCAAGTTGTTTGCTGGTATTTTGTGCGGTTGTGTGGTACTGCTTGTTGGTTACGAAGTGAGCGATGAAGAAAAAGCATCCGAACCTATCCATATTCTAACTGCACTTTTCACCACCAGAATTCACAAAGAAAACAAACACATTTTACCGTACCAACCAACCTCGGGAAAACTTTGGCCAACATAATCCACTGCATGTGTTTCTTTCAGCATAATGGAAAACAGAACAGAACCCATGCAAGAACAAACATGGTGAAAATTGCATTGCGCAAGTTGTTTGCTGGTATTTTGTGCGGTTGTGTGGTGCTGCTGGTGTTGGTTGCGAAGTGAGTGAGGGAAACAAAAACCATCCAAACCTATCCATATTCTAACTGCACTTTTCACCACCAGAATTCACAAAGAAAACAAACAAATTTTACCGTACCAACCAACCTCATTGAAAACTTTGGCCAACACAATCTACTGTATGTGTCTCTTTCAGCATGGAAAACAGGAGAGAAACATAGAGAAACTATGCAAGAACAAGCATGGTGAAAATTGCATTGCGCAAGTTGTTTGCTGGTATTTTGTGCGATTGTGTGGTGCTGCTGGTGTTGGTTGCGAAGTGAGTGACGGACAAAAACCATCCAAACCTATCCATATTCTAACTGCACTTTTCACCACCAGAATTCACAAAGAAAACAAACACATTTTACCGTACCAACCAACCTCGGGAAAACTTTGGCCAACATAATCCACTGCATGTGTTTCTTTCAGCATAATGGAAAACAGAACAGAACCCATGCAAGAAACAAACATGGTGAAAATTGCATTGCGCAAGTTGTTGCTGGTATTTGTTTGCGGTTGTGTGGTGCTGCTTGGTGTTGGTGCGAAGTGAGTGAGGGAAAAAAAAACATCAAACCATCCATATTTTCTA